CGCCAGGGCAGAGCAGAGGGGGCGGATCCCCCCCCTCGACCTGCTGGCCACGCTGCTGTTGATGCAGCCCAGGATGGGGTTGGCTTTCTGGGCTGCAAGCGCACGTTGCCGGCTCATGTCCAGCTTTTCATCCACCAGTACCCCCAAGTCCTTCTCCGCAGGGCTGCTCTCAATCCCTTCATCCCCCAGCCTGTATTGATATCGGGGGTTGCCCCAGCCCAGTTGCAGGAGGAAAAAGAGGGCTGTGCTTGGCTGGCCTTTTTTCAGTACTTTGCCTCTTCCACTCCTCCCCCGCCCTCCCCAGCTTTTCTCACTTCTGTTTGACTCCTGCAAGGTGGGGAAACCTACAGGACACACGGCATCCTGCCTGCATATTTGCAGGCATCATGCCCGCCAGTCACACACCATCCATCCTGGGACGAGCTCTGGTTTATCACTGTAAGAAGCTCGACTGGTGCACAGCAACAGCCTCCCGTATCCCCCCACAAAGGAAAAGCCATAAGCAAATGCTTTGGGAAGAGCAGGACAAGCGGGTGTGACTGCTGTGCCTTAAGTTCTCCCTCGGTACCCTCCCAGCTCCAAAGTGCGACCAACTCTGAGGGTTTCCTGAGCCTGATGTGTTTGTGGGGTTAGTAACCCTCAACGCACCCCTCTGCTTGCCTAGTCTTTCTCAGGCCCCTGCAAAGTCCTTGCATCCCCGCCTTCTGACAAGGTTTTTCACAGGTCTGCTGCCTGTTGCAGGAAGAACCACTCCTTGGTCTCCCTTGGGCTTGGTTCTAGTAGTTTTCCCTGATGGCCTCTAATGCTTTTAGTGCTGCTTCATCCCGACCTATAAATAAGTGTAACACTGCAGAATGTGCTTCTAGTTCCAAGCAGAGGATCCAAGAAGAAACAAGTAATTTCTGGTATTGAAACTCAACAGCAAAGTGTTGTATAATGTGTTTGCTACTGCGTTAAGTTTAGAATAACTCAAAAGTCTACACAGAGGGTAGAGGACAAGAGTCCTAGCTGGGTGTTTCAAAGACACAACCAACCATCCCAAAATTCATACCTAGACAGGAGAGACTTGATTACTGCCCTATCCAACACAGCGTGTCTTACTGCCCTTACATTTGCTGCACAGAAGCGTATCAGTGAAAAAAATGTGTCAAAAATATATGTAAAGCTTCTCGGAGATACCAAGAAGGAGTACTTGAAAGGACAAGCCATGGTGTTCCTGCAAACAAGCAAGCAGACAGTGTGCTAAAGGTGTTACCAGAGGTGGCAGTCCCAAGGGACTGAAAACACTTCCACTTAGCAGTGTGAATGCAGACTGTCGGTGCAGGGAGCTGCCAGCGCCAGCAAGCGCCAGCTGGGGAAGGAATCTCCTCTTCTTGCCCCTGAAATGGCTTCAGTGCTGCTGAAATGCTGCTAAACTTAAAAGCCCTGGTTTCCTTCTTTATGCGTTATTCAAGTGTAGTAGTGGCAGACTGTAAGGGGTCCAGCATACCAACCTCTGCATTTTGGCTGTACATCATCAAAGCCTGCCCCACCTGTGAGCTGGGCACAACACTGGCTGTTCAGTTGACTTCAGGGGACATTAGTGTTTTTCTCTAAAAATTCCATCATTTATCTCCCATGTGTCTTAGGGTAGGATGCCAGATCCCCAGCCTTTTCAGATCCTCGTTGCTCCTCTGCATTCCTCAGAGCCTCAGAGCTTTTCATCAGCAAAAGATCTGCTCAGGGGTCCCCAAGCTGTTCTGATGCCTTTCATTTCCCATCTTCTTCTGCAGTCCTGTTGCAAATGAAAACTCTTAAACTGTGCAGAGCTAATCTCTGCCATAACCGCACAATCCCGTCATGACTGCTCTCCTCCCCTTGCCGGGCCCCATTGCTCTGCCTGCTCTAATTTTAAAATTAAAGCCTTTGAGGCCATGATTGTCACCCTACTGCGTCACACAGCACCTGGTACAGCAAGTTCCTATCTTGCCCAGAGCTTGTAAATGCTGCCATAATACAGAAATTACCTCATCAAGAGCAGATGATGTTATACGCATTTTAAAATCATAGTAATGTGTTATTAGCAAGCATGGCAATCAAGTAAGCATCTCATAGCTAGGATGAGATATCTTACTACCAGCAGTAA